ACCACCAAAACCAAACCAAGAAGAGATTAACAGCTTAAACAGATCTATAACACAAAAAGAAATTGAAACAGTAATACAAAATCTCCCACCTGAAAAATGCCCAGGACCAGATGGATTTACAGCAGAATTCTACCAGATATTTAAAGAAGATCTATATCCAATACTACTTAATTTATTCAAAAAGACAGAAATGGAGGGAGAACTTCCAAATTCCTTCTATGAAGCCAGCATCACTCTAATACCAAAGCCAGGTAAAGATACAACCAAAAAAGAAAACTATAGATTCATATCTTTAATGAACATAGATGCAAAAATCATCATCAACAAAATACTAGCAAACCACATAAAGACACACATCAAAAAGCTCATCCACCATGATCAAGTTGGCTTAATCCAGAGATGCAGGGATGGTTCAATATAAATAAGTCAACAAACATCATAAATCATATAAATGGACTCAAGAACCACAGGTCATCTCAATAGACTCAGAGGAGGCCTTTGACAAAATTCAATATGCATTTATGTTCAAAGTCCTGGAAGGAATTGGACTGGAAGGAACATACCTCAATATAATTAAAGCCATACACAACAATCCCACAATCAACATCATTCTAAATGGAGAACACCTGGAAGCATTTCCATTAAAATCAGGAACAAGACAAGGCTGTCCACTATCTCCAAGCCTTTTAAACATAGTGCTTGAAACTCTTGCAAGAGCAATAAGACACAAGAAGGCAATTAAAGAATAATAATTGGAAAAGAAGAGATCAAATTATCCCTTTTTGCAGATGATATTATATCTAAGAGATGTCAAAAATTCCACCAAAAAACTCTTAAAAATGATTAACACTTTCAGTAAAGTGGCAGGTTACAAATTAATCTACAAAAGTCGGTAGCCTTCCTACATAACAATAACAAGCAATTGGAGAAAGAATACATGGAAACACTCCCTTTCACAAAAGCTGCAAAAAATAAAATATCTCAGAAATTAAACCTGGCCAAAGACATTAAAGACCTCTACAATGAAAATTTTAAATCTTTAAAGAAAGAGATTGAGGAAGACATCAGAAGATGGAAGGACCTCC